AGCAGGTTTGTAAATATAAAATTACATGTTTAAAGATCTGAAATTCAATTAATTAGAGGTGAAATTTACAGGTTCATATAAATTTATATCGTTGATCGTTGAAAATTAAATTAATTCCAATTGAACGTTTGACTTCCATTTTAAGACACACAAACAAGGAAAATTCAATGCAATTGAATTTAGTATTAAATACCTTCATGTATGTTTCAACTATGTCCAACAAATATTTCAATGTGCCTCATGTGAATTTACAAAGTTTGCGCATTTGCAAAATCATCGACCTCGTAGTAAATTGCTTCGAACTTGAACCACGTTTCGTGACGATCTGAATTACATGCACCAAACCAAAATACCAAGATATTTTGGTGCTTCTGATGCAACTTACTACGAGGTTCATGGTTTTGCAGTTATGCTTCTGGAGCTTGCTTATGCATCCGTTCTGTTACCCATGATGGAGTAAAGATTTCTCTCGTCTGTAGTAAGTCCAAAATTACCCCTTTCAAAGGACTGACCATTCCTCGATCTGCACTGTGTGCAGCATTGTTTGCTTACTCGACTGTTTGTGAATGTTGTTCCGGCTGTGGAAAATGGAATTCCAGTCAATTAATTTTTGGAAGGACCGTCAGATCGTTCTTGCGTGGTTGAAAAAAAAACCTCTTGCTCAACTAAACCCGTTTGTTCGCAATCGAGTTGCAGAAATTATTGAACATTCCACCGATGCCAAGTGGAATTACATCCAATCTGATGAAAACCCTGCTGATGTTGTCAGTCGTGGACAACCTCCTCAATTACTTGCTTCGAATGATCTCTGGTGGTACGGACCACATTTTTTTTTGTGAAGTCATGGTTATCAGATCGATGAGTCCATTCCGATGTTACGTTCACTTAAAATAAGCCCCGCATGTAAACACTACTGTTATCATATGAATAATGGTACTGAAAACACACTTCCAGGTTTCGAAATGTGATGCTTCGAAATCTGGCGTGTATTTAGTAATATATGGAAACATGCATTTATGATTGATTTTTAATCAGATGGATCTCACCTAATGCTGTCTCCGGTTTGCTCACTCGCGGTAATCGAAAAAAAAAAAATCTTCCACGTTGTTTTTACAACCGAACACAACATTTTGAATCACATACGAAGTTTGTGAGGGAGGAAAAGCACCTAAAACAAGCGAAAATAAAAACCGACCAACGCGATACCACAGCAACACAGCTTCTCGAAACAAATTCTTGTCCCAGAGTTTCCACGTTAATTACAACATCACTAAAAAGCTTCTTAAAACGTGATAGATCTTAATTTACACTTATCCACACGCGAAAACTAATATTTTGTTTTGTTTTTTGACTTGGTACAATTAAAAAATATGCGGAAAACAAATTGAAATCAGCGCCAGCGAAAACAACACCAACCGTTCGCGGGCAGAGCCGACTGCGTTTTTTTCGTTTCAAGCTGTCAAACCGTTGACCCTTAAGCGCCCATTACACATATCAATATATTGACAATAAATTGACATACTGACAATATTATTGAAAAGGTGATATTGAAGACGTTGATTGATGTCAAATATTGACGAAAAGCTGATTTTAATTTCACTTTGTCAGTACTCAGAATGTATTGACAAAAAACCGTCAATTTCACCATCAATATCATCGATGTACAAATATTGACAACATTAATGGCAATACGTTAGAAGTCTTTTTGACCTCAATGTATTGAAGTCAATGTTACTTGCCTCAATTTCCCCACACAAGAAACATGGATCAGCGAAAGAAAGTGTGTTTAGAGTTCATGTTTGCATTCGGGTCCAAACAGAAACGATTGCTGAACTTGTATGTATTGAACATACTAGCTATACACTGAATTCGGTAAATTTTGCCGGGTTTTTGAACAGCTGAACAAATTGGAAAAATTTCAAATTACCGTTACTCGAAGGAAATCAATAAAATCTACGAATTGGTTTTGTATCGTTCAAAAGAGGTTAACTTGGTCCGAACATTTTTGGTATAAATTTCCAATTTTTTTTAATTTTTCACTGATTTGTAAACTTTTACCGAACAGCTCCGTTGTTTAATAATAACAAAACAGCGGAGTCCTGGTTTAGTGGATGTATATAGAAACAACTTTCACCCAACATTTATTTATACTTGCCTTTTTCAAATTAATTTTCAGGATTTTTAGAATAAATAGTGTTAAATAATGATCTATTCCAGGTCTACTCTTAAGTTCTCAGAATGATGTAAGAACTAGGTGATTAGTTATAGCATTAGTTATAGGTATAGCATAGCATTAAACAAGAGACACAGAGATATTAAACACTGAACTCTCCTGTTTCGTTAGAACAATAATGTTTACCTAATGTTACCCATACATATAGGGGGTTATTCCGAGAGTCGAAGTGATTTCTGTCACTAGTGAAGTGAGATGCAAATCAAATGGAGAGTCACGTTACCCTAGGGGCACGCAATAACCTTTAACTCTAACGCAGGCAACGGCTCTAATTAAATTAATTCCATTAACTACTGCTTTAATTACATTAATTACAAAATGTAGAACATTAACTATTTTTTAACTCTATTAATTACAGTCGAAATTTCGTAATTCAAGTACATTAATTACATTTTCAATACTTTTAATTACATTAATTACGGATAGATAGTTTTAATTACCGTCAGTACTACTTCAAAACGCATTAATTACTTTAAGTACTTTTGATTACATTTTAACTTCAACGCACCGCTTCTTTGTATTGCGTGGCCCTCGACGTTACCACGACGTGACTTTTCTTACTTCACTAGATACAAAAGTCACTTCGACTCTCGGAGTAACCCCCATAATGCTTAGTTTTATCATAATGGTACACTTGTTTTATCATGATGAAAATCTTCTTATACTTTCTGGCAAACTACTTTTGATGATTAGTAAAGTCAACTAATGTGATATGTGATATAAACTGTACTTATGACCACACATATAGTTTATTAATTAACATAGGATGTCTCGTGAACGTGGGTTATTCTGCGTGAGCTGTAAATCCACGGATTTGTCATTCATATACCAAATTGTAACTTTTTGACAGGACACAGAAAATACACAGGACATGTACTTCCAAATTGATAGAATTTAATCAAATCGAGTGCGCGGATTACTATACGTGTGGAATACCCCACGTTAACGGTACGCAGTTTCCCAAATAGAAACTATCATGCTGATGTTTTGGTAAATATTCATAAATGAAAATCATGCATATAATAATTAATTTACGGTACATGTAGGTATGTGAAACGCTGATAGTATTTATTTTATTTCAAAGTAAAAAAATAACATGATTATGCTAGTGCTTTGGTAGAAAATGTACATCGATTTAAACGAAGCCTGGGTGATTGGTGACTGTAAAAAGATACATTTTTTTTATTTAGTTTGAAATCGATTGCATATCACACACGAAAATTTAACCAAATGGCAACACTGCATATCTCGCTGCATGAGCGAAGGTGCTTGTGAGTCAGTCGATCTAAATGACGTACGTTCTCCCTCCTCTTGGGTAGGGGAAGAATATTGACAAGAGAAATGAAAATCAGTTGTTCGACAATACTCGGCATCAATCCATCGTCGTCAATATTACATTTTCAATAATATTGTCAGTATGTCAATTTTCTGTCAATATATTGACCCGTGTAACGAGCGCTTTAGCGTATTGTCATTAATGTTGTCAATATTTATGTATTGATAATATTGTAAGGAAAATTGACAATACAATGTTTGTCAATATATTGACATGTGTAATGGGTGCTTTAAATCTTCGTACAAAAAGATCTAAATTTTGCCACCCACTGTAGTTGATGCATCTCGCTTACCCCGAATGTATGCAACTCATTCGCCTCATCCATCATCGCTATTTTTTCCTACACTCTCTCTCTCTCGTCTGATCACGGGCTCGGGCGGCGTCGGAGGTGGCAATCAGCTGTCAGACAACGTGTCTGCGCCATCCACGGAAAAACATTTTCACTTTCCGTTTGCATTGGCGCCCCTCTTTCCACCTTCCTCGGGCAGGTTCTTTCTTCCTTTGGCGCATATCCTTCCACCTCATCAGCCATTACAAATATTGATTCTCGTTAGATTGCTTTCACCCGAGTTTCCGTCATTCATGCGGGACCGACTGAGCCCAACCGTGGATGGGAACAAGGCAGTGAGCCTACTTTCAGGGGCACGTTGAACTTTGTGTGTGATTATCAACGTCACTGTCTGCCTGCCTGCCATCATAGTGATGGAGGTAGTAACGTTTAAATTTAACGCCCGGCAGCCACCATTGACCTAGATTCCATACCGTCGTCGGCCGACGAGCCAGACGACGTCCGACGGCTGTGTGCATAAAGGCGCGCGCAGACACACAAAGGCCTTTTGTGTGTGCTGTGCATGGTCGTCTAGCCTCTTCTGGGCGTCCTTGTGTTCCAGCGGGTAGCCAAAGGGTAGCGCTGCGGTAGCGGAAACGAAGTGAAACCGGACGTGCAGTGAGAAAAGGAGAAAAAAGCGTCTGAAAGCGATTATATCGCGTCGGTGTTGGGTTTTATTGCAAGCAACTGTATCGAATTTGGGTGAAATTATGGTCGAATAAAATATTTCTCTAATGACGCTACTTTACGGGCGTCGCCCGCACCGCTCAACCCACAAGACAAAGTTAGCGACGTATAATTAATGATATCGTTAGCTGGTAGCTTCTCTGAAAGGGAGATCAAATCCGCAAAGAGCACAACCTAACCTCAAAACTTAAATTAGCAGTGTAATGAGACTTGGCGACGCGCTTCACGGCGGTTATGCAAATTAGGAGCACCGCAGCGCCATCTCGTCGTCGTCGTCATCGTCGTCGGCGTTGTGCTCTCGTGGGAGTGTGTAGGGCAAAAAAAAAATCAAACGCTCGTAAAATCGCTGATGATTTAATAACGATACGTACCTATAACCATGTTTTTTTTTCTTTCATCCTTCCTTCGATTCGCAGGTAAAATACGAGAATCGTGTCCAATATCTGACGTCGGTTTGCATGGCGTGTCTGGATGGCATCGAGCAGAGCCGAGTTGTACGATGCAGGTAATTATTATTATTGTGATTTTGATTCACCGAAAAAACAGCTGTTCGGAGTGGTCATTAATTTGACACCTTCCCCCATCCCAGTCCCACACTTTAGGGAAGGTCCTTGCCCACAGGGACCAGATTATCATTCTAATTAAATTTCATGGAAAATATACACTCTCGCTTGTTTCGGTCAATTTGTTGTAGGAGGAAGAGAAAAAAAAAATCATAGGAAAATCCAAATTTGAATATTCATTTCAACCAAAGAAGTCGCCTTCTGTAATGGACGGCGGGTAGTCGGTTGCTACTGGTCATAATTGCCATAATTATAGCCCTAAAGTAACTTACCGAAAAGAAGCAACGAGAGGTTATGATTGATGACTGCCGTTTTTTGGCGGCGGCTGGCTCAGTGTCTGGGCTCTCTGGCAACGACGACGATGATGCTGACGGTAACGCTAAGGGTCATCAGCCTGGTTGAATGGATATTGAGGGCAGGACACTTGTTGAATTTGTTTGTTGTTTATGGGAATGTTTGTCGAGGAGTTTTTCTGATGACGAAATTGAGTTGCGGTTGAATCAGCTGAGGAGTATTTTTTAAGAGTTCTGAAGCATCAGGTAGAACTAACTTGCAGGTTATTAGCACTGGAAGCACATGTTGTTGAGTCCTTCATAATATGAATGGCTTGCTGTGGCTGTGCATGTTCTGTTGAGCTTTCTAAAGTATCCTATAGTTCCTGGACATTCACTGTCATATCTCGTTATAACGTAACTTAATTGTTCGTTTCATTACGTTATTGCTTCGAATACAAGATTTAAAAATATATATAAATGTGTTCATATCTATCTGGGGGAGTGACGACATTACCTGAATTTGGCCTAACCTTCTCGTTTTAAACTGAATAAATTTGGGGGGCAATTGAGCGAAGGGCCATTAATGCGATAATACTAATCAAATGCGCACTCCTCTACCTAACGCCTTTTTTCCTTTGTTCGGGACCTAACACCACTGCGACCAGTGATTTGATCTATTGTAGTAAGGGAAATGGATCTAATGTTGGCCTATGGATCTAAGATTGGGCCCATCGCTTTATCTAGATGAACGCGTCATTGGGACGGTACTAATGGATATTTTTGGTTGCTATTGAAAATTTAGTCGATTGCTGAATTTATGTTTGGGCCCAAATTAGGGACACTTAGGCCGACATTACATCAATTTCCCCTATATTCCGTGTCCTTAGTTTAGTGCATGTCGTATTACTCCATCACTATTAATGTTGTCATTCTTGCCTTCATCGCAAGGAGTCGATTCTAATTGAAAGGTCCCGCTATTTATACTCTTCGTAGTGTTGGAACACCCTCCAAAGGTGCGCCTCTTTGTCAGTCAAAATTGAATTCCTTAGCAACAAAATTAAGGAATGATAATTGATAATGACCATGCATCAAAACCCTAGTCTTAACCACTTCAAACTAGGGAACAACGAATAGAAGTTTAGAAATCACATAGATGAAGACTTACTATTTTTTTCCTTGATTCAAGATCATCCTCGGTCCAGGCAACCCAAAGACTTTTCACTATCAACAAGGCATAAAAAGTAACAAGGACTAAGATGTGTTCCTTTGATTACTGAAAAATCCTGTTCCCCTAGTTTGAAGTAGCCAGAACTAGGAATCGGTGGTAGATCTAACACGAAAAGGTGATTCAACCACGTTGCGGGGCTTTATGATGGATGAGGGGATTGGTGTGTATTTTCAAGAAAATGAAAACATTGTTATGATTGTATTTTTAAAATATCAATTCCCTCAATGCAAATTTAATGAAATACACACCAGAGGCCGAAGAGCAAGACTTACTTACCGGCAAAATCATTTTTCAGAATTAATAAAAAATATCGTGCTCCATAATTGCTGAAACAAAATCTTGGATTTTCTCCAGGGGAATAAAAATGGAAAAGGCTTTGCAGTGTTTTAGCGATAAAGCCGAGGAATCTCCTTCGGATAACAATACCGAATTTTCGAAAAAAAAATGTGATTAGAACTTACATAAATGCTGAAGTTTTCGGACTTTTCAAATTTCCAATATGCCATGTTTGAAAAATAATTCAAGATTTATTAAGAAGAACTTTTCAGGGAATTTTGATGAAAATTGGTATAATGGTAGAGGACTCCAAGGAAATTAAAGAAAGTATTCTTTAGAAATGCCGCAGATAATTCCAAGATAATTATTTAAAAAATACCATGGACTTTGCGTGGAAAACTTCAGGTGAACTCAATTAAAATTACGTGGCAATTCTGAAGCGAATTCTATTTCAATTTTAAAAGGAAATCCTAGAGCACCATGAATATAGAGAATTTTAGAGCAATTCTAAGCTAATTTTAAAATAATTTCTGATGAAGATTTCATAGAATTAGTAATAAATATTTTAATGGAATTTTAACCACAATTTCCAGAAAATCCTGACATGAACCCGAAAGGAATTCTGACACCAAATCCTAGTGAATTCCGATCTTATCTTAATCTGAAGATAATTGATTCTAATTAGATTGTTCGATTTCCACGGAAATTTCCAACTGAGAGTTAAGAAAAAGGAGTCCTGGCTCGATTCCAATTTTTTTTCAATTTGATGAGTAGCATTGGTATGTCAATTTGGTCAAATGCCTTGCTAGAGTCCGTATAGAGGGCTTCTACGTGGTTACTTTATAGGACTGCGCGTGCTGCACAGGTTTTCCAGTGGACGCAAGGGCAGTAAAATAAGGAGATCGCGAGTCTGAATCGGTAACGAAAACCTTCCTTGGCCAATCGAAATCATCATATGCAACTTGGTAGATGGTGAGCATTTCCAGCCCAAAACGCAAACCGGTTGGTCATGAGTGTTTCCGATTTGAATGAAACATTTCTCACGTGTTCGCTGCTACTAATGGTTGCATTTTTCATTTAAATATAATTTTTTCCTTCAGAGTAACTTTTGAAAAGGGCGTATAAAAAAATGGATTATTTTTTTTTTCAAAAAATCATAACTTGAAAACTATTGATCTGATCAAAATGGCATATGAGAAGAAGTTTTAGGTAGTTAAATTATCTTTGCGGAAAAAAATACACTGAAAGAAAAACTTAGTAAATTAGTATTTAAAAAAAGTAAAACGGTGATTATCTCAAAACACCCCCCCTTTGATCTTTATAATTTTTTTTTTCAAGAAAACTGAATAAATGCCCTAATATTTAGTAAAGAGTGTATGCTGGTAACTTTCTTATATTTTTTTTTATAATTTTTGAAATTTTTGTTGGTTTTTACAAGTTGGTGAAATTGCATATTTTTTAGTAAAATAGTAATTTATTTGGATTCTACGCATAATTTTCAAAAACATTACATATAGAAACTTTTTTCCTAAGTCCAGCCGTTCTCAAGTTAATGCAATTTAAAAAAAAAATTATAATAATTTTCTACATTTTGGGCCATTTTCAAATGTTAGTCGTGATGTCCAGCAACGAGATGTTTTTCCATGAATATATATTAAAAAACAGACAATTCATTCTCAAATATGGTAGCTGTCAGACTTACCCGTTTCTATTTAGACGCAGCGGAAAAGAAACACGTTTATAAGTAAATACTCTCAAATATACCCAAATAATCAACAAACCCAGTCATGTGCCTTTTTTCTGTCCTCTATTAGTTGTATACCTTTATAGAATTGTGTATGTCATAACAGAGGCTCAAAACATAAACAGGTAAACAAATATGTTATTAAACCTGTAATTGAGATAAATTCTCTAGGTACTTCTCTGACGTATACCATATTGTGCCTTAAGAGCTCATCCCGCGATATCATAACTACATAAAAAGGCACCCCGTGGAGGCTTCTTACACTCACACTTAAAAAAGTTTGCTATAATCAATTGTACCTAATGAAGATAGGTATAATGTCAACATTGTAATTATTCTGCTACATATATATATATATTGGGACGATCTTCACCTGTTCCATTCAGTTCATCTCTCTTAGCGTTTCAAGTTAAAAAGCAAGTAGTTTTTTACGATGGATAACAATTTCAAGTGTTGTAAACCTCTACCTAAATCAATTTCAAAGCATGACACAGTAACAGTAGTTCAGTTGTTTATCTCAAAATTATTAGAATTTTTAAAGTTGCAAATAACAGTCCAAAAGTGTATTTGTATTTTCACAATACAAAAACATAAAAAAATTGCTAGCCTCTGTGGATTTAAAGATAAGCATAATGTAGAAATTGAATGGCATTTTTTTGCAACTTCACACGGCAAAGGTCATTGTGATGCGATTGGCGGTACCCTTAAGAGAATGGCAACCAGAGCAAGTTTAGCTAAGCAACACGAGCACCCTATAACGAACCCTGAACAACTGTACGACTGGGCAAATAGTCGTAAAGAAGATCTTCAAACAAAAATGTCATTTTGTTATGTTTCTACGGAAGAATACAAAAAGGCTGACACGGAATTTGATCCAATTTTTAAGAAAGTGAAACCAATTCCTGGAACTCGAAAATATCATTGCTATATTCCAGTTTCAAACAACCAAATTGCAGTAAAAATATTCTCTAATTCAAACGATACACCCAAATTATTCAATGTACACTGGAGTCGCTTTTTACGCGGTTTTTTTGTACACGGTTTTTTTTTACGCGGTTTTTTTTTACGCGGATTTCGGAATTTACGCGGTTTTTTTTACGCGGATTCCGGAATTTACGCGGTTTTTTTTTACGCGGATTTTGGTTTTTTTTACGCGGATTTCAGAATTGACGCGGTATATCGCTTTTTACGCGGTTTTTCTTACACGGTCTTTTTTTACGCGGTTTTTTTTACGCGAACTTCGGAATTTACGCGGTTTTTTTTACGCGGATTCCGGAATTTACGCGGTTTTTTTACGCGGTTTTTTTTACGCGGGACGTATCACCCGCGTAAAAAGCGACTCCAGTGTATTCAAATAATATGAGTTGTAAAATAAAATAATAAATATATACTGTTTTTTATCTCAACAAATCTTTCATT